TTTTTTTATATTTAAAGAGTTTTTATATTTTATATATTTAAAGCGATTTCTGGACAGTGTAGAGAAGGGCTTGTTGTCTGTCATTTCTCTGATCACAAATGCAGACATGGTTTTATGTTTACGCGGCGAAATGCAACGCAACACGTAAAAAGACAGTATAAGTCATTATAATCCATAATTATGTCCCCACTGGATGCAACGAATGCCTCATTTATAATGGGGTTTCATGTTTTTGAATCATCGCTCCGGCCTGACAGGGCATCATCACAATGTGGTAAGGGGTGTAACATTTCCGTCACACGCTTGAGGTATTCGGCCAATCATAACTCACTGGATAGCTGGCCAATCACAGCACACCTCGCTTTTTCAGACCGATGAGCTTTGTAAAAATCGACTCGTTTCAGAAAGGAGGGGCATAGAGGAGAAACAATAATGTACAGTATGTGGAAAATAATGTGTTTTGAACCTTAAACCGCATAAACACATTTCATTACACCAAATACACAAAATAATGTTCTGTTTAGCAGCATCATATGACCCCTTTAAATAAAAGGGCATCAAAGATAGGGGTGGGCAGTTAGACCAAAATCTTATTTCATAATGCAAGCAGTTTTATTTCATGATAACGTCTTCACTATATGAATGAAATATACATCGATCCTTATTAAAGAAAGCCACTAAAGTTATTCAGTCAAGAGCACTGAGTGATTGTCTTTTTGTCTTTTGTTGTTAGAGATTAACAGACACAGAGAGCAGCAGGTATATTAGACTTGATGCATGGATCTCATACAAATTATTTTACAACTGTTTATGTTCACCTAAGACACAACAGACTGTTTATGTGAATTCTTGCCAAGACAGGCATTTAGACGTTATTCCGTGTGTATCTGACCATAATAATAAACCCCAAATGAGAACTGAATTCAGGATCACATGCTGTCTGAGAGGGGCTTTCTGTGCATGCTCCAGCATCACTATCAATAGACGCATTATATCATCACAAATAGTGCTGGGCGGTATGACCAAAAATTTATATCACATTATACCGGTTTCACAGTACATTGACGGTATTGTTTTTTTTCATGCATGACCGGGTGCTAACCATATTTTCTACGGATTGAGAGAGGAAATACTGCAGTATATTGACTTAGAATGCCCTATTTTACTGTCATGATGAGTGAATATTGTCAAAAAATACCACACTAAATAGTGACTAAACACAATTTAATACATGTTAACCAGGAGTGACTCATTTATAATCGCGGCATCATCTGATAAAATAAACATGCATCTACACTAAAGAGCGGCTATGCGGTTGTTTTGGCTATATTACTTTTTTGTCTCATGCAGCGCACTGCCTGCATCTGAGTGACTAAAAAAAACAACAACCAAAAAAAGTGCATGTGGTGATAAAAGATGAACTACGCTCATATTTATAATTCCAATTTCCAAACAATCAGTAAGCGACAGGTGCTAGGAAACGTTGTTAGGAAACGGTGCGGCCAACTGAATGCGCTGCTTCTCTGCCGCTCACTGCACAGAACAGATGCCGAGAGGTGACACTTCTCCAGGAATGTCAGACCTCACGTTCGCGGGACAGCACTGGCAAAATCTTCCAACTGAACCATAGCTAAGGTTTATCCAAAAAAGTCGCTAGGTTTGTCAGTATGAATATTCTATGGAAAAAATGCCACTAAAAGGGTCTGAAAGTTGCTAAATCTAGTGCTAAAGTCACGCCCGTGTGTGTGTGAGAGACGCGGTAGCTGATGGCAGGGGGCGATATTTGTGGCAGTCAATGTGGATATTGTGGATGAGTTCTTCTGTGTCATCACATTCTATTAGTTTTACAGCTTCAGTTTCGGGAACTTTCATGCTTAGTAACATACAGCTGTTCCCTCACCACAGTGCAACAGTGAAAAGGGACCCCTTTCAAACAGTGTCGCGTTCCGAACGTTGTTTAAGCGTTGTTTACACTGGTATTGCGGTATTTTAAAAATCCATATCATAACAAAAATAAACACCGGTATTCGGTATGAACCGGTATACTGCCCAGCACTAATCACAATATTATCATATCAACCAGCTCTAATCAAAGATAAACGTTATGCTTATCTCTTACCTCTGCGTCTGTCACCACCGTCCCTATGCTGCTTGTAAACACGTCTGCTGCGGAATTCTGGACCACGGAAATCATCACGAGCTTCATTACTAACCGGCTCCGGTAGCACAAATACAGTTCCTATGTAAGATTATAATGGGGTTAAAAAATAATTTGAAATCCCTTAATGTATTTGATAAAAGAAACCAGAGCATAAAAACTTCATCACATGGGCATGATCATCTGAATCAGTCAAATGAATAAAAGAATGGTAGTGGCACCTTTGGGTAGGAAGTTGGTGTCTGGGTCGCTGGAGTGGTCAGACATTCCATCTTCTGCTCCACTCTCAGACGAAGTGTCTGACTCGTTCATCCCGCTGTGTTTGGTGACAACAGCCGGTTTCCTGTAAAAGTAATGATTTACAAATGAGATTCTGTCAGCGCACAAAGGTGTCCAGATCCATCTCATCATTATTTGAGTCAAACCTTCTCGAACGAGATGACGACAACATTCCCACTTCTGAGGGGCCACTGGACTGAAATGAAAAGACAAAGCATTTTAAACTAACAGATCCCTCGAAATCTGATCAATAGAGCAAAAACAACATTTAATTAATTTCAGCCATATAAAATGATAATTACAATTAAATTTCTTATTAATCTATGCAACAGAGTGCAGCAGGAATGAGTCCTACAACCTATTTTTTAACTTCCAGTTCCACCGTCCTGAACTCAAGAGGGGTTTTTGGTTAAATGCTTAAAATAATGTCTGTGGTTAACATAAGCATATCTCAAGATATTGTCATGTTCTAATCAACAACATAAAATAGATCAGTAATTCGCCACTTGTCATTTTTATAGACTTTACATAACTTGAAAAAGGCGGTGGCTAAATGGGACTACATAAGTTGTCAAGTACATTAAACGGCATCACGTCTAACAGAATGCCATCTACTCACTAGCACACTTTTCCAGCCTTAATGTGTTTATACTCACATTCTTGCAAACAATTATCAGCTTTCCAAACTTTCCAACTTTTACATTTTAAATACATACTAAAGGAGAGATCAGAAGCTTAGTAGTGGTAACGTTTAAGTCATGCGACCATGGTGTAATTCATTTATAGCCTATTTTAGGTGTTTTTTGTTTTTTTTGCTTCTTGCTTCCAATTACATTTTGGCTTCAAAATTCATAAAAGTTGTTAATTTGTGAGGATTATCTTGATGAGTGAAAGATTTTGGTGGTCACATAGCTTATTTTTATGCAGTTTTTCAAAACCCAGTGGAAACTACAAAAAATGTCATCATAGAACATCTTCCCTGCTGCACTCTGAACAATCTCTACCTGGGCGTGAGCCTGCTGCTCCAAGTATTCTTTGGCCGTGGTTCCTGCAAATGAAAAATAACATAAATGTTCCATTAATTAACTTATTTTTGGTTCCGTTACTGATGTGACTGTAATCACTGGTTTCTCTTCCATACTGTACTCACCATTCCAGTGTCCGGGTAAAGTAGGTTCAGTCTTGTCTTCCGTGGCTGCTGCCAAGTACTCATGGAGCTTCCCGATCAGCTCACCTAGCTTACTGCCTCCACCGGCCACCGGCCCGGGTCTGCAAAGACCAAACACAAATAATTTCCATGGCAAATGCCTCCTACTGTAATCCTTCAAGATGCATTAACAACACTAAAAAGCCTTTTATAAACCTACAAAACTGAACTACATACAAAAGCATAGACGTTCCTATAGAGAGAAGCACACTGAGGCTTCAGTCCGATTCCTTACACTCCGAATGTAAATAATAATTAGTTTGTCCCAAGTACAATCTTTTCCTGAGTTCAGCACCGGCTCTGTTTGGCTGGTAAGTTACTAATAAAGTAATAAACTGTAAAGTCAAAACGCAAAACCTAACATTACTTTAGATACGAAAGATTAAGCATGGATTTAATTCAAACAGCGACTCGTTTTAAAAGATTTATTGTCTATAACTATTAACAAACCTCACAGCGTGTACGTTAGTAGTTAGTGCAAAGAAAGAAAACAGGGCGCCTCACCTGAGGACTTCGGCAGACATCTCCTCCTCGCGCACAGCGCTTCAACACACCACCGAGCTTTTAGCACAATCAACAGCCGCGACGTGTTTCGGTTATTGACATGAAACTCATATTTGGCAAACCGCAAAAACTCAACCAGTTTCACCCGCCATCTTCCCAGTGGAACTTGCGCCAGACAGCTCAAAATGGCGCACCGGAAACTGTCCGTGACGGACGTAACATGATGACGTCATTACTTCGTCGTATTTCGTCATAACTGAAGAGACGACTGCTGCTGGGAAACATGTCAGCTTTACTTGGTTAAGGCTATATCATATCAATATTAATGTTTGTCACGCTGAACAACAGTAATAGCTGTATTTGCATTATTGTAAGGTTAAAGTCCGCGTGAACCAGAAGTTGCTGCCAAGCGCCGACTTTATTTCAGTGCGATGACGTATTTCCAACTGAACTGAATGTTGAATAGAGGGGCGGGGCTTGATTTGTGCACTCCTCCTCTAATCCCTCACTCGCAGCCACTCGAAGCAAACTAATAACGGTTGGAGGGGCGTGGTTAAGCATATTCTGCCCAAGCCGTC